TTAAATTCAGTCAGAAAGTTTCATATAATTTAAGTGAAGCTAATTTCTAAATGTATAAAAATAATAAATCGTTCTCGATTTACTTTATATTATTATAAATCAATAAATTAACATTTACTAGTCTATTATATCAATAATTTATCGTAGAATTTCAACAAAATATAGTTCAAAAACGACATATTCATCGAAAAAATATTCAATAATCAATTCAATCATGAATGATCCTAATTATTGAAGAAAATTAAAGAATTGACTTAATCCGTGAAAAATTTAATTGATAATTTTATCTAAAATTTTTAACAGTTGGTGAAAGTTTAGGTGATTGAATTGATCCAAAATAAAGATCATCAACTAACATTTGTGGTGTAAGAGAACGTGGAAGAAAAGCAATTCGAATTAATAACGAAAAAGCAGGCTGAAGATTTTTATTCATAATCATTGATTGTTCAAAATAAAATGCTTTATCATCCCATCCATTAATACGTATTACTATTTGAAATTTTTCACCTAATTTAATACTTTGACGATATTGAACTTGTATTGCACTAACAAGAATAGTTGCATTTTTCATATCTTTTTTTCGACGTTGAATAAATGCATTCCATAAACCTGTTTCTATGGAAAATGAATAACGACCAAAATCACATTCACCTAAATATCTTGAATTATTCATATGAAAATTTAAATCAAGTTCATTTGGCCAACATCAACCTTTAATTATGGATTCTGACAATATATTTTTGTAATTTTTATTTCCTTTATATCGCCAAAATAATCTCATTACACGTAGAGCATATCCTTATCAAACATTTTGTTGTTTTTTTTCAAAATTTTTATAAATCTTGTTTCATCGAATAGGTGTCAAAAGATCGAAAGTCAAAACGTCGAAAGTTAAAATATCGAAGAGGCAAAACATCGAAGAGGCAAAATATCGAAAAGAAAAAAGTCGAATGGCATAATATCGAAGGAAAAACGTCGAAAACTAAATGTCGAAAAGGCAAAATATCGAAAGTGAAAAAGTCGAAGAGAAAAATCTCGAAAGTACAAAATGTCGAAAATTTTCTAATCAGTACCAAAGAAAAAAAGATTCATACACATACCATACTTGCACTCTTACATTATTGTTGATAAATTTCGCCATAAGGGCATATGCATTTATGTAAATTTTTTCTTGCTTTCGTCGCGGCCTCAACTAGCGTCTTTTTTTTTCGCTCATTATCTATTTTTTTCTTATTATCCGTCCATATATATCTCTTTCTAACGATGTATGTGGACATTTAATCATTTATCGTGTTGTAATACATAATGAAGAGTGGAAAAAATAAAAATAGGTCGAAAAAAGTGTGCGCGATGCAAGACAGGCTTAATGCACTTACAAGTCGATTCGGCAATCAAGAAATTGATGTTCAAGAATATTTACAAGGTTTATATTTGTCTTTCTTTGTTGCAAAAAATGTGAAAAGTAAAAATTAAATTCTTCATTGTATCTGCACTTTTACTGTTTTTTCTTGTGTATTTGAATTATAATATAACAATTTTTTTTCATCTGTTTTGCTTCCTCTTGTGTTCAACAAGAATGCAAAATCTATATCTTCTTCTATTTAACAGACGTAAAATAATAGACAATGCACTATTAGAAAATTTCGTAGTACTCTCATTCATATTCAACATTTTCGATCTTTTGCTTTTCGACATTTTCTTTTCGACATTTTTACATTTCGACATTTTGTACATTCGACATTTTATTTTCGACATTTTTGGATTTTCGACGTTTTACCCTTTCGACATTTTGACTCTTCGATGTTTTTTTTTCGACGTTTTTTCTTCGATATTTTGCCCTTCGACGTTTTGACTTTCGGTCTTTTGACACTTTACCGTTTCATCTATCGATTCATATAGAAAATAATTTATTGATGATTAACAATCACCAATAGATAAGAAGAGGTCACACGTTCAGCATATCACATCATCATCATCTGTAGCGTATCCTACTGGACGTTGCTTTCATTACAAGACTACGCCATTTATTGCCTGTCTTGAGCATTTTTCCAGGCGGAGAAAAGACCTAGATTGAATGGACGTAGGTCGTCTTCGACGGAGCGGATCCACGTGTGGCGTGGTCTGCCACGAGGGCGTTTCTATCCACTTAGTGGCCCATTAATATTTGCTTGCAGTGCTCTGGTATGG